TGATGAAGTTGGCATATCGAAAGGCTCAGCCAATACCATTTTGAAGGATGTTTTGGGCCTCAAGCGCGTCAAATCTCGACTGGTACCGAAAACATTAAATTTTTTGTAAAAAGGCGCGTTGAAGTGTGTGAAACGATGCTTTCCGACTACCAGGGTGTCATGAAATGCATTATAACTGGTGATAAGACTTGGATCTATGCTTATGACCTCGAAACAACCGATCAATCGAGCGAATATCGTGCCGAAAGAGAGCCGAGACTAAAATAATCGCGCCAAAGTCGCTCAAAAGTCAAGGTAATGTTGACTGTGTTCTTCGATTATCGTGATGTTGTACATTATGAATTCCTTCTAACCGGTGAAACAGTTAACAAGGAATATTATTTGAATGTTAGGCATTGTTTGCGTAACGCTATCCGCCTAAAAAGGCCGGAATTGTGGAAAGACAATTCTTGGTTTTACACCACGATAATGTGACATCCCATACTGCCCTCGTAATTTGTGACCATTTCGCCAAAAACTCAACCCATATCGTTCCGCAACCACCGTATTCACCTGATCTGGCGCCGTGTGACTTCTGGCTCTTCATCAAGCTCAAAAGACTGCTCCGGGGACACAGTTTTTATACGATAGAGGAGATTCAAGCCCCAGCGAAGACGAAACTGAAGGCCATCCCGGAAAGTGACTAGAACCAGTGTTTCGCAGATTGGAAAATCCGTTGGCATAAGTGCATTGGATCGGTAGGGGATCAACTATTAAAATCACAACTTCAGTCACTTTGTAGGGTGAAAAAAAAACTTGCTGATTCTTGAGCTCGAAATCACAAGAAACGTAAATGAATAAATTAACTCAATATTAAAACCTAATTTATTTTACACTCTTTTGAATTATACTAATTTCATTTAGAATATTTTTCGCCTTTTGCGAGTTTAAAATTTAAATTTCTTAATCACATAACTCTGAAACTTTCCATACTCTGCAATTGTTTATATGCGACAAAAACAATCTTTGCATAAAAAATATAAAATTTCTTTCGTTTTCTTATTTTTGCTTTTGTTCACAAATGAAACAGAACAAAGTTTAGTTGTATAGCCAACCACATATTTACGTATTAAGGTGGGTTCGCTTGATACTCTGACAAATTGGTTAGTAGACACCTTTAACACAACCGGACATTTTATGGGTTTGGTATGAAATTGAATACTCAACCAATTTGTCTGTTTTCGTAAACCTAACCACTTAAAAGATATTTAGATTAAGATATTTGTTTTTAGTTGGAAGCGAGATACAAATTTTTCTAACTGCTAGTAATAAAAAAATAAAAATTTGTTCGAAGAGCGGACCTCCTCGTTACAGTTAAGAGTTTATATCTGGAGGAGCTTCTTTAGAGGTGTCTAGCAACTAATTTTTCAGGGTACCAAGCGTAAACGATGTTTGTTTTTTTTTTTTACCCACCCTAATACATATTTATTTCCTTCCATTTATAAAAAATTAAGATCTTCCGTCTAGCAACTGTATTATTATAAATAGCTTATTTCATTAAAATATGTGTTTCTTTATATTATTAAACTTTCGGTTTCAAATAAAAAATAAAGGAAAAAATAAACTTGTTGCGAATGAAATTTTATTTTGTCTATTTTATGCAATCATTCATATACCATTTACCATACTTATATTCGACTAACATGTGTACAAATATTTAAATATATGCACGAGTTATGCAATCGAAAGTTAAATATTGAGTTAAAATTATTATTAAAAAGAAAGAAAGAAAACAAAAACAAATATGTATTGTTTGCCTGCGTGATAGTTTGTCATTTTGCCAGCCATCTTGTCTTAAACGTAGTTTTCAGTTTTTGCTTTAAGCGATTGATATTTACCTATTAGTCATTTTTATGACCAATTCTTTAAAGTTAGACAGTTCACAAACAAACTACTAATAGTTTATAGCGAATTTTTGTAAGTTTAAAACCGATGCATTTTTTGTGATTATAAACCGCTGTAGAGTAGCTTTTCAAATTCTTAAATGAAGTGCTTTTTTTTATCTAAAATAATTTTATTTTCATTTATATTCTATTTGTTTTTTGTATTCATGCAACCTGTATCTATATGAATGGGAAATATAATTAAAATTCAGAAAAAATCCTCTAATCATTATAGTATCAATCTCGATCAGTACTTCCCAGCACGCTCAAATATTAATACCCTATGTTCGGACCGACATTGAAAACATCTTGAAAACACAATTGTGGAGTCTAAGTCGTTCGGACCAACAGTGTATGTTTTCGAAGAGTTTTCACTTGACAATTCACAAATCGTTTTGATGCTAACTTTTTTAAAATCCTTAATATTTGTTTATAATTATTACAATAGAACGCGTTTTATAGAATTCGCACCAAAAAATATTAATTATGAAAGTATTGGCTTTGAGAATCTAAAAAACCACTTCTCGCAACGACGATTCTTCAAGAGAACTGTTGGAGACTCTTACTACCAAGCACCTTGAACTCGCCTAAAAGATAGTTGAGTTATAAAAAATCGTTTAATCCTATTAGATATAATAAAGGACCTTGGAACGCTGATTAATTCATGTTGGACAAAGGCTTGCAAAGCCTTCTATTGATGCAAAAGCTTTCAATTACATATTATTAATTCCAGCAACGTAAAAATCAGTTTTGGGAACACAGTTGCCAACGAAATGCATCTGCTTTTTTTAAAGAAAACTTTACTATGAACTGAAGTTCAATTAACAAATTTTGTGATAGTATCGGCCTCTACAAAATCTATCTACATATCTATCCGATCGATAAAAGAGTGCTTTTGT